ATCTATATGTATTTAACCCCAAAACCCCAAAACCCCAAAACCCCTCAAGATAGTATTATAATTAATAAATGGAGCAATAGTAAATTATTAATGAATACATCAAGTAAATAAAAAACATAGCCATGAATAGACAATAACTAAAGTTATAATTGAGTTAAAAGTTTACATTATACGAATAATTATATAAATATATCAGAAATAAAGTTAACTAAGTATAGTATCGATTGAACTTTACAAAATTATCAATCATACTTTTTAAGATAATCAATACATAGTAAATCAATATAATGTCTCTATTATTTCTGGGATGATAATTCATCAATATGTCTATATTATGATCATTGTAATGTGAGCCATGAGCTTTCAAGCGTTTTCTTCGCTGATATCCTCTTTCTAGGATTAGCCTATAATAAATCTTTGAGTAGTTCTAGCATTTCAGGAGACCATTCCCCATATTTGTGGATTTTCGCTAGTTTCTTATCCACAAACTGCTAAATTTCTTCGCTCTCATCATATGGGAATATCTTAAGTTTCTATCCTCGAGTCATGAGCTAGTACATAACAATACCTGCACTCCAGCAATCAACCTTCTCATCATAAGACTAACCAGAAGATAGTTCTGGAGCTGAAAAAATTTCTTCGCCTGTAACACCAAACATAGAGGGAGTGTACTCTAGGCAATTTGATGAGTGCCTAAAAGAAAGTGCGACATTGAAATCTATGATTTTAAGTTTCTATAGGTCCTCTGTCACATAAATATTTCCAGGCTTGATATCTCTGTGGCATATATGATTTTCGTGTATAAATAATATTCCCTCAAGAAGTTACTTCATGACTGTCTTTACTAATTACTCATTGATAGCTTCAACCTCTTTATTCTCTTCTTCCTGATATTAGGCATTTTTAATGAATGTAGTTAAGTTTGAGCCTTTACCAGCGAACTCCATTAAGATATACATCTACTCTCTCATCTTATTGTAGAATATGTCTATGACTTTTATTACGTTTGGATGGCCCTCACCCAATCCCTCAAGCAGTCTAAATTCTTTCATTGCTATGTAATAAAGCTCCTCATCTGGAACCTTCATTATTTTAACTGCATATTCGGTTTATGGAGACTTAACCATTTTACATATTTTAACCACTGATGAACAGCCCTGAAAAATTTATTATACAAGTGAAGTAATACTTACTTCTCCAAGATATTCTTATACTTCATAGAGATCTTCAAAGGCTTCTTAACTATCTCTGCTAGGAGAATTGACAAGTGACTCAGGTTTCTCATACATTTTTTTTACGAAGTCTTATTCCCTTTTGTCTAAAAATAGTGAACTACCACCTAACTAAATTTTTTTCCTTGAATCACCTTTAATACTTGTTCTTGTATCAAAGTTCTTGTTAACATCGATATCATCTAACATAGGAACATTAAGTAAAACTCCATCATTTAGATCGTTCTCAATATCCTCAGAAGACATCTCACTGTTCTTTTCGCAATTTTGAGACATATTTGAGCTTCTTACAGAAAACGATTTTTCTGATAAGGCACCATTCTATGTAAATCTAGTCCCATCTGTAGTTGCGCTCTACAACTACTGAATTCCTGATAGATGAGGCCTTGTTATAATCAAAGAGTCTATATATAAACTATTAAGAATCAAGTGCGACTTAATAAAAAAGAAAATAAGGATATAGGTCTAGGTTAGGAAAGATAAATTATTGCTTGAAAAATAAGAGGAAATATTAATTACCTTTGCATCTATTTTATAAAGTTAATCTGTTTTAAGAAGCAGTCATTTTTCTAGAAATCAAGGGTTTTTCAAATGATACCAGCCCATTATTAGAGAATTTTTTCACATTGCCACTGCCACCTATTCCAATTAAACTTTTTCTTTAAATTATTCTAGGGTCATTATTATCAAGTTTAAGGTGATCTAATTTAGGTGATGAATTAGATTCTACTTCTTCAACTGATGGCAGTCCAAAGATCCTCTGCTCATCTTTTAAGAGAAGCTATTGATCGAAATCATTTGCAAGCTTATCCATGATATTGATGTCTATAATTTGTTTTTATAATTTCTCTTGATTAATATAACTTTTATTATAGAACGAATCAATTTTTGTATGAGGGGTTTTGGGGTTTTGGGGTTTTGGGG